GGAAATAATCGTCCACAAAAGGTTTAATACTTTTTATTTTAACAATTACCCAGAGTTAACTTTTGTGAACCACTAATAAAACAAAAATATATTTCTTTGTTGCAAATAAATTGTCCTGTGGAACCAAAGAAAAATATTTGCATCCCCTACGTAGGTCCAGTATCTAAACGTATATGCGAATGTTTCACTTCGTATAATATTTCAGTAGTCTACAAAACTTTAAACTCCCTCCTATCTTTATTCCCTTCTTTCAAATCACCTATCTCCCCCATTGAAAGACGTGGCATTTATCACCTAACTTGTAATATCTGTAATCCAGCATATGTTTGCCAAACAGGCGAAAATTTTCAGTTAGAATTAATTAATGAGCATATAAGATGTTGGAAACAAAATGTAGACACTTCCACCTTTGCCAATCATTTGATTCAATTTAACCATTCCTTTGACCCTAATTATAATTTTAAAATCCTTTACTTAGTTAACAAAGGAACAAAAATGAACATTTTGGAGAACTTGGAAAATGTAACTTTTCAAAAATACTAATTATTCTATCTTGAATGAACATTTCTTAATTAAAAGCAGTCACATTTTAAATATTTTTATTAACTAGCCCCTAATCATTCTTTTGATCTGATTTTCCCCCTTTTTGCAATCTCTTTATCTAGTCAACTTAATTAAAATACGTCCTTTATATAATTTAAAATTCTAGTATCTTCCAAAATTCCTAATTTTCTGTCCTGTTTTATATTCGTGAATGAAAAGCAGTCAATTTTAAATCTGTTTCCGACTTCCCTTTCTACTCTTCTGTTTCGCCCCCTCTCCAACACTTAGTAGCCTTCCTCTTCTCCCAGTCCAAAAGTTAGATGCCCCTAGCTGTACCCAGCGGGTTTTACAGTTTTCATTTTAATTGTTGTTTTTTCCACTAAATTCACTGTATTTCTTTTGTTCAACTTGTGTTAATGTTTCAATTTTCTCCCGTTGCTAGACCCAATGAGGATTGGAAAAATGTTTCCCGAACGTGACCTCTTGGTAATAATTAATAAAAATTATTAAATATTTTGTGGACGATTATTTTCTTTACCATAATATGTAGTATATATAATACTGAACTATGTATATTCGTTCAATAATAAATATATATTTAAAAAAAGGATGAAGAGTGTATGAAATATTTTTAGAAAAAATTGATCACATAACATGTTATTAGAGGTATTTCAAGTTCATATTGAATTTTACTATTAGATATAAACCATGGTACATTGAGTAGTTTTCGAAGAAATTTGTATTGCAAATTTTGTAAAGTGCTATAATTGCTAGGTGTAATCCAAGTTTATCCAAGTTCGACTGGCATATGTCAATGTATGATTATGCTTTTGTACAGAATTAGTTTGGTTTCGAATTTTGAAGAAAATGCTGAATTGATACGTGTGTCAGATATTTATCCTGTATTATTTCTAGAGCTCATTGAAACTGTCTCCACATGCTTTAAAGTTAAGAAGACTGTTGGTGCGAGTGCAGAAAGCAATTTTTACGAATTTTATTTGGTTTAACATATAGAAAAAAATTAAGAAGGTAAAGAAGTCCCAGAAAAAGAATACGAAGAAATATAAAGATAAAAAGAAACAAAAAGAAATATCTTCAAAGACAGACAAAGCGATCATGGTAAAGTGTTTGAAAGGTGTTCGATTAAATTGTCAAACTTAAAAAATAGACACTTGAATCACAGTGAAATAGCTTCGAATGAGATTCTCAGCATCTTTTGAATCCCAGATGATATCAGTGAGATAATATTATAAAGAGAAGAATATTTTCTTTGTGTTCATGAAATAAACGCGAGAATGGAGTAGGTCCAATACATATTACGCAAAATTCAGTCCATTTTGTTTGGGATCACCTAGATTGTGAATACCGTAACATATTTGTAGCGATTTGTGTACATTAGATTTTGAGCTAAAATACCCATTAAAACGAGATAATTTACCTTTTGGTGACTGAGAAAAACATTTCAGACATATTTTCTTAATCTTTTTGATCCCAGAAACATAAATTTTAGCTATCATTTTATTTTTTTATTTTTCCAATTTCGTCGAAGGCACCATATCAGCGGAATCTTCTGTTCAATGCGCATTTCGAAGATATGAATGCCAATTGCAGACTCAGAAGTCATTTGCGCACTCGAATAACTTTTTGCAGTTTCTGAGTTTAGGTCACCGCGGATGTTTGAACAGCTTTGTGCTTCGATTAGTGAAAATAATCGTGTACCAGTGAAGCTCTCCGTTTATACGCAATTCATTGAGATAATTTATTCCTTACGAATTTATTAGATCTGATTTTTCGTGCAATGATAATTCATTTATTCGCTATTCAAAATATCGCGACTCTTTCCAGGCATTTCTATTTTCCTTCTTTAATCACTCACATTGTTATTCAATTTTAGATTCAAGGAATTGTTCTCTTGAAAATTAGAAAATTACGGTTGTTTTAACCCTCTTGTATCGTATATGTTTAAGGATGTTACATATAGGTTGAACGTTGTTTCCTCTGTCTCATTTTCTGATAAAGTAGTATGAGGCACTATCAACATATGATTGTAGCATATCCTGGAAATTGGCACAACCATTTGATACGAAGTTAAATTTAAGGAGGTCGTGATTTGCCGTTCTTTGCTGTTCTTAAGATGAGAAAACACTAAATTTGCCGCAGATCTTTTTTCCAATAACATCAGTGTTCATGAGAATTTCCAACTGAAATAAGTAGTGTATCTTCTTTGTATCAGTTAATAATGTAAGAAATATACACAAAACCATTCTCAGAATTAGTCACTTTTTATTTTTTTAACGGATAGTGGATGAATGAATTGATATCTCTATTCTTTTAGAAAATATTACCAAAAATTATTAAGTTGATTCACCGCATTAAAATATCACAATATCATTCCTCAAAAGCAGTTAAAAAAGCTTATAGTAACATAAAGCTCTATTCAGAATTTGCCGATTTTTATTTAGAAAAGAATGATGAAAAACCAGATGCCTGACTGCCAAGCACAAATTGGATTAACAGGTCGCTTGTTTGATTTTAGCCCTCATTAAAAGTAGGTAGAATGTGATGAAATTGTAGTTTTAATGTGATTCAGTATATGTACGTATTTACCAATTGTAAAATTGGGATTTTTATTAGTACACGATGCTACTGTGGTGAATAACACGCAGGTTCTTGTACTATGTGAAAAGATGTCAATGAAAGCGGTTACGAAAGACATTTAATACATCGAAAATCATTTGTCAATTTGACAAGCACTGAAAGACATAACATTTAATTCGAAAGCTTAACACAAATGTACACGGTTGATTTTCAAGAGTCGTAGCTTAAAAGCTCTCTCAGTAATAATAATAATAATAATAATAATAATAATAATAATAATAATAATAATAATAACGTTCTTTATTCTCGAAAAGAAGGGTTAAGAGGCGTAGGCCAATTACATTCCCGTTTCTCCGTTATGTCGAATCTTCCCCGCCGCTGGCTGTCGAGGAAGCGCGCGGTCGCTTCATTAATAAGCAGCATACGCAGTTGGACGCTGCAAAAAAGAGTGAGCGCAGTGTAATCGCGATGGCTGGCTGGTGAGATCAGAAGCGTTTATACTGCCGCACACGACACAGGTTAGTCAAAATACGATGTCGGTGCACAGAAAAGATCGCGCGCGGTCCATGGCCCGTTTGTAAGGGCACAATTCCAGCATTTGCCTGGTATTACTTGGAGAAATTTTGGAAAATTACCGATCAGAGCAGCCGACCTATTTAATTCTCCCCTTATCAGCGTCTGAATTTGACCTAGCTATGTAGCTAGTGTTGAAAATTGTAACGGTTGGTTGGTTGTTAGTGATTACGGGTCCGTCAACCACTGGGGTCATTTGTCCCGTATGTAAAGCGCACGATTTTTCCTTTCGTGAGGTGGCGGTTTTCCCTGGTGGATAGCGTGATCCGGCGCCGACCTATCGTCGATTAGTGGGTTTTCTCCAACCATCTCCTACTAGTGCTCCTACTAGTCCTCCTACTTTAAATATACAATTATATTTAAAGTAGTAGTTGAATTGGAGTGTCGTGAAGTGTTGTGAAGTGTTAAGTGCAATAGAAGAAGTCAAGTGCAAGTGTAGTGTACGCGTAGTGAAGTTAGGTGTAGCGAGTGAAGTGAAGTGTGTGAAGGCTGAAGTGAAAGTGTTATGTCGAAGTGAAGTGAAGTGCAGTGTATTTAGTTAGTTAAAAATATCGCTGCAGGGCAGTCATAAAGTTAGTATAGTAATGCTGTTAGTTTTTATTGTTTATATTGTATTATTGTTTTTAAATGCTTACCACATTACCACGCTGTCATTACTATTCTTAGTTGTAATATGTAAAATGTAGTGTTCTGCCACCAGGTTCTACACCTACCTGCAGAAATAATAAATCTAAGTGTATCTAAGTATAGTGAGGCACCGCCCAGGGACAAGCGCTAAGCTCCCGACCGGTCTCCCGGCATGTGTGGTAGTGTAGTGCCTGTAAATGTTAGTGTATGTAAGGGGTAAGGATAGACCGAGAAAGAGGTAGATAAGATAGTGCGCGGTCCGTGGCTCATTTGTTAGGGTACTGCATTCGGCATTCGCCTGATGTTGATGTGAGAAACGGCGGATAACTACCAATCAGAGCAGCTTTCAGTTAGAAGTCTCCTCCAGACGGACGCTGCATTGGAGCTCGCTATGTAGCTCGCGTTGCAAATTGGCTCGTGGCTTGCCGCAGGAGAGCTTCCTGCTGCCGGTGCCGAGCTTCGGGCCGTCGGCGCGGCCGGTGAGCCCGCTCACGGAGGAGGCGGAGGCGGGCAGCGAGGACGACGGCGCAGTGTCGCCGGCCAGCGCCGAGGCGCTCGCCGTCGCCCTGCCCTCCACCTCGAGCGCGCCCGCCCCCGCGCCGGCCCCCGCCGCCGCCGCCGCCG